CAGCTGCTGCTGCTGCAGCTGCTGCCGCCGCCGCTGCTGCTGCTGCGGCTGCTGCAGCTGCTGCTGCCTGTTGTTCCAGTTGCTGTTTCTGTTGTTCAATAGCCTGAATCTGTCCTGTTGCATGCTGGACAAATGCATTATGCTGCTGTTTATACCCCTGGGGAAAATTCAATTCTATCAATACATATATATATATACTAGCAACACATAACAAAAATGGCTTTAAGTGCTGTTTTGAAAAGAAAAGAGCTTAAACAAGAAAATAAAAAAAAAAGTTGTTGAAGAAAAATTAAAGGAAGTATTTCTTACAGCCCGAGGATTCCAGAAAAGCTCTCATATGAAACTCTCTTGATAGTTAACCCAATTGCCATAGATTTATGTAATATCCACTGTAGCTTTTAGTGTATCTTCTTACATAAAGATGGTTCCACATGTGCTCAGCCAGCAAGGAGTGCATTAGTATACCCTAGTGACCAATCCTGATTTCCCCTTTCCTTGAATTGGCAGGAAAATGTGCTTTTTTCTCTAATACCTATAATTATCAATATTGTTATTGTTCTTATTCATATTATTGTTATTGTTCTTACTGATATTAGGCTTATTAAATTGTTATCAAAATCTTAGTAATATCAAAAACAATGAAATAATACAAAAGGCACTTTTTTATAATTCAAGGAAAAGGGTAAACAGGTGAGATAGGGAGGACTAATAACTGACTCCTTGGTGACTAAGCAACAAGCCATCTATGTGTAAACACAATAAATAAACTTATATTACAGTGGGCATGGTATCTATTCTTGTTATCCATGCTGACTGTGTTAAGTTACTTCATACAGAAACAATAATAAACATATGATATTATGAAAGTAATAAATCCAAGTTTTTAATCAATGCCAAATCCATCTCCTTTATTACTAGACTTCACTTCCATCATTCTTTCAAATACTACAAACTGACCCTTGATCATAGTGCTTCTACAAAAGTAACAAGTACTTACTTCAAAAGTAGCATCTATATGTTGGTTGATAGTTGCAACTACTTGCGGGAACTCATCAATCAATCCCTTCTCGAATGCTCCCCATGATTCCACGGGATTTTTCAGTTGTAATAGGACAACATCTTCTAAGTTGATCTTGGATTCCCATAGCGACAGTAGCTGTAGTAATAAGAGAAATTTCATAAGTAGTTCCAACTTGTTCCATAAACATCAAGGTATATGGCAATCATTGCAAACTAACACAAGAAAGTTACCTTGTCCAGTTTGGATTTCTGGTCGTCGGAGGCTACTGTCATTGCATTGCAGAACATGGGGGCTAAAACCTTTTCAAGTGCCTCCTTCAGGTCATCTGCATTTTTCCTTACACTGTTGGGTAAAACACATCTATGATGGTGTGATATCTGCACTGATAGCATGATCCATACTTCAGGGAAGATCTTGCACAAGTACTTTTGTTTAAGTGTTGTAAATTAAGGGGAGAAAAATCTGGCTTTCAACTTTTCTTTCTCATGTATTATTGATTAAACAAATTTTGGCACCATAATAAAAAATTTAAAAAGGCAATCTGAAAACAAAATCATCCTCTGATTTGCTATACTAACAACTACTCTCATATGCTAACTTCAGGCTTACCAATTAAAACCTGAGACTGATAAGATCAAAATATTTTCTCTTCATCTAGATTTCTTAATCATTAGTAACCCACTACAAATCAATCTCAAGATGTTCAAATTACAAATAATAGCATCCTTATTATATAAATCAACTGATCTCTGAGATTATGTCTATCTGGCAATTAGATGGTAGAAAAGGCATGACATTATAAAGACTCTGTTCTCTGATGTGATACATAGCATCATGAAAAACAATAACAACTTGGTAGCTACAGCTTCACCATGAGAAGCTTCTCTTCACAAATAGTTCAAACAGGGTTTTACTATGCCCAAAGAGGAGCTATGCTTGCTTGCTCATTTCTATGTGGTTGTGCTCATCTGTCAGTCTACTGAATAGTTCATTCATATCTCCACTCTCTAAATTATTTCAAAGTAAAAAATAAAAAAAAAAGGTAATTATACAGTCACTAGACATTTTTAGATTCCCCACTCAAGAATACATATATATGCCAAAAAGTCAACAGCTCAGACTATCTCATAACATAATTAATGTTAAGATAATTTTATCAATATAATAATCCATCAATTAAGGCAAGGTAACCAAGAAGTTCCTAAAATATGGATTCTCCGGGAAAAGACCAAAGAACTATTAAATACATACAACTAGAAACTGTGAACACAACTGTTACTCAACTACTTCAAAACACAGTAGCCTGTACTTAGAACTGTAAATGCAATCAGTATTTCACATGTTATCAATCAGGATCTTTCTCTTTTTTTCTCTCTCTCTCTCTCACTCTATTCAACATCAGATGTCCAAGAGATATTTTAGAGTTGTATAATATCAAAGCAAAGAAAAGGAGAGCCTACATGAGCTGCACTGGCTCCTTCTGCCACTTTTTCTCCCTCAAGCTGCAGATTATAAGAAAGACAACCCATTAAAATGTCAAAGGTAATGAAACAGGTCAAGTTCTACTTATTCTTTATCTGCCTCCCTATTCACCACATAAAATTCTTTATTTCTCTTTCTTTTCCTTCTTTCACAGAATAAAATAATAACAAGTTCATGATATGAATATCATGCAAAGACCTTTTCTGAAAGGTATACAGTCTACAATATATCATTGAACTCACAAGACTACTTCAGCCAAAACCATAAACTTATAGAGACATCAACCCTCTCTTTTCAAATGGCATGATTAAAAGCTTACTTGACTTTATCTTTCAAAATTAAAGAATAGTAAGAAACATGAAGTTTTTTAAACAGAGGACATTCTCCCTTTAGGCATAAGAGCACCATGGGCTAAGAAGAAAGCACACATTTATACCAAAGCACTGCATAATACTAACCATGCCCATTACTTCTAACAGTATCCTAGATGCCATTCAACAGTGATAAATATTCTTTTCTAAACCTTACAAAAGCTTCTCTACTCCCTAAAACTTTGCTTTACAAATAATTTAGTACAGTTCTACTTACCAGTGATGCAAGACATCATTCATCAAGTAAATGATGTGAAGTTTGTGAGTAAATGGACCACTGTTGGCTGTTGCTCTGAAAGTTATAGCAACCATTTAGAAGGCATACTAATGATCATTATAAAGTTGTTGTTTGCATACCTCATAGCTCGGCATTACAAATCATCTACCAATTTCACACACACAAAAGAAAAAAGATAACTCTTGAAAATCATAAAATCATGATGATTAATAATCAATATAAAACTTTTACGGTATAGCAAAACATGAAATGGCAGATATAAAATAGGATGAGGATAAGGTGGGTAGGATGAGGATGGGGGGATAGGGGGAGGATGTGGGGAGGAAGAAGATGTGGGGAGGAGGCGGATGTGGGGAGGAGGAGGATGTGGGGAGGAGGAGGATGTGGGGAGGAGGAGGATGTGGGGAGGAGGAGGATGTGGGGAGGAGGAGGATGTGGGGAGGAGGAGGATGTGGGGAGGAGGAGGATGTGGGGAGGAGGAGGATGTGGGGAGGAGGAGGATGTGGGGAGGAGGAGGAGGAGGAGGAGGAGGAGGAGGAGGAGGAGGAGGAGGAGGAGGAGGAGGAGGAGGAGGAGGAGGAGGAGGAGGAGGAGGAGGGAGAATCAAAGATTGAAGATGGAGGAGATAGAATTGAGGATGAGAAGAAAAACAGGGGATGGAAAAGAAAAGGAAGAATAAAAACAAAGAAGATGAGAAGAAGAAGAAAACAAAAAAATAATAATAATTAAAAGAGAAGGACAAGAGAAAAGATGAGAAGAGGAGACGAAGAGAAGGAAAAAAAGAGGAAAGAAGAAGAAGGAAGAAATCCGACTCCTTACTTCCAGAGCAGATATCGTGCAATCCAGTGATTCTTGGTGGGCGACTGTGCATTGGTGAAGATCCAGTGCTTGCCATTGGAGATTGAGTCTTTGGTGCACGACTCAACAATGGGCCCCAAAAGTTCATCAAGCTCATGCGTCGAAAAACCCAGATCGGCCGCCTCGTTGCGCAAAACTTCCCCTCTGGCCACATATATACCCTCCCTGACTTGGCCATCTTTCTGCTGCTCCAGGACCTGAAGAGAGAAATGATGTGGTAAAACATAAGACAGACATACAAAAACATGAAAGAGGTGAGGGGAAAGAGAAGAGAAAGCATAAAAAGGGAAAAAGTAGAAGACAAAATGGATGGAACCATCAGTAATCTTATGTCACATATATATATTCAAGAACATTTTACTAAAAAGAAAAAAAAAAAAAATCAATTTCACTTATACCTTCTACTTCATTACATACAAAGCCTTATAAGTCTTATAAATGTATAATATTATATCAGTAAGAGCAAAATTACTGCCTCTTGATTGTTATAACTTCTGATTTAGCTTTTTGCTTGTGATAAGCAGATATATCTCGCCAATTTTTTTTTTTTTTTTTTAAGTGACAATTTTTTGCAGATTTCTTCATTTTTGTCACACATATTATCATACATCACTGTATAGGGCAATAATCAAAGAATTTTAGTGGTAAATATGAAAACAACACCTACAAGAGATACTGAAAATGTATTGCAGAAGCCAAAAACATCAACCTCATCTTTTGGTAGATAAATGACATCATTATAGGAATGCTCATGAAATTTAATTCTCAGTTAAAGGGTTAAAAGGAGGACTTCCATCAGTGACTATCAATCATGACTCACTATTTGTGATGGTATCCATATTTTTGTCCACTTCAAAAATAAAGTAAACTGTGGGTGTCAAACAAGACTTTTTTTCTTATGTACCAAATCCCTTACAATAACATCATTCCTTATTCACCAAAAATATCAATTATATTCACAGTACTGACTTCAAAGACACTTACCTGTTGTTGTGCAGCCAGGTTCTGTTCACTTTGGTGTATCTGCTCC